CAGGCTCGACTGCGTCTACCTGGGACACACCTGAAGGGGCAGGACCCTGAGGGGGGAGGGGGTCTACCGGGGGGGGACCTGGCACAAGGAAGAGCGGTGGCGGGGGGAGGGACGGAGTGCGGTAGGGGAAGAGGCGGTAGTAGGGGACCGACTCGTCAAACGTGACGTCCTGGGAGGACAGAACACGGCGAGAGGTGGGGTGGTAGAACTGCCACCCTGGCGCGTCAGGGGGGAAGCCAAGGAAGACGCAAGGAGCAGCACGAGGGGACAGCTTGTCCGCAGACAAGTCGCGGACAAACGCCCGAGATCCCCAGACACGGAACGCAGACGCATCGCCAACCTTCCCCGTCCACAGCAAAGCTGGGGAGGTCTCCGGCATGGAGACCCTGGGGTGAAGGTTGATCTGATGCGCCGCGTACCGAACCGCAAACGGCCACAGAAAATGGGGGGCAGCCGCATGCATCATGGACGTACGGGCGACGTCCATGACCATGCCAATGCGGCGCTCAGCAATCCCATTTTGCTGTGGAGAGTCCGGAAGCGTGAATGTCTGGCGGATGCCTCGTGCACGACAGTAGGCTCGCAGAAGGCCAGAGGAGAACTCTCCACCTCTGTCAGAGTGCAGACACAGAACAGGAAAGTCCGAGCCGAAGCTCTGCCTGAGCTGGAGACGAGCTGCGCGGATCCAGTCGATCAACACCTCAGTGACATCACCCTTGCTGCGCAAGGGGAAGACCGTGGTGTAACGCGAGTAGTCGTCAACCACCAGCAGGAAGTAGCGCTCGTGACCCTGTCCACGGACGCGGGCCGGGCCCCACACGTCCATGTGAAGCGTCTGCAGCGGGGCCTCTGTCGGAGGAAACTGGGAGGAGTGAGGGGCAGCCCGCTGCCGCCCCTCGACACAAGGGACGCAGGTAGGGCCGGGCCCCGGAGGAAGGGGAGGGAGGGACCGGGGAAGACCAGAGACAAGGACACGGGAGGCCATGCCTCGGAGACGAAGCAGGGAGGGGTGACCAAGGCGGTGGTGCCAGAGGAGAGTCTCGTGCGACAGGAGGCGACACGAACAGGGGGCAGACTCAGGACCAGACCTGGACGCTGCAGCAAACACCTGACCCGACGCAGCTACCTGACCAGACGCAGTGACTGGAGGAGACGCAGTGGTCAGTGTGTACAGGCTCGACCCCGGCCGACGTGTAAACGTGGCCAGGTGTCGGCCTGTCCGAGCGTCCGTGCAGTGGGTCACCCGCTGACGCGCAGGAGTGAACTGGTGAACCCCCGCATCCTGTAGGTCAGCACCACTCACCAAGTTCGTAGAGAACGAGGGGAGGTAAAGACCAGACAGGGTGCCAGAGGGGGCCGCCGGACACGGGAGGACAGTGGAGAAGTGAGCAAGGACAGGACCCCCAGAGGGGTCTGCCAGAGAGACTGCAACTGGCCGGCCAAGCGGCGTGAGTGTGGTGCGGTCTCGAAAGAAGGAGCGAGAAGCCCCCGAGTCAAGGGTGAAGGTGTGGGAGGCCGAAGCCGACGCAGTACCTGAGAGAGCAGACTCACCAGCACCTGAGTGAGCAGACGCACGAGCACCTAGAGCAGCAGCCTCGCTAGCACCTAGAGCAGCAGCCTCACCAGTACCTAGAGCAGCAGTCTCAATGCCCGGGTCGGGCGGAAAACACCGGTAACAGTCACCCTCATCACTAATAGTCACAGCATACATGGCAGCAAGAATAGCATCAAAGTCAAGGTCAAAGACAGCTACACCCGCCCTAGACAGCTCGCCCCAGCGGGGGATCTCAGTGGCCTCAGGGAACTGGTGACACCAAGCGTCCGTTAGGCGGCCAAAGCAGCGCTGGGTGGAGTGCGCACCCCCGCACTGCTCACCCGCGCGGTCGCCGGTGCGTAGGACGTAGGTGCACGGACCAGTACCCCCACCCCGCTGGCGTGCAGCGTACCACTCACGGAGCTGCTGAGGGGGGGGGATGTCACGAGTGCGCTGCTGCCGCTGCTGCTGCTGCTGCTGGCGCTGACCACCACCGGAGCCGACCCTCTGCCCAGCGCCACCCCGACCAGCTCCACCTCCTCCGCCGCCGCCTCCTCCACCGCCGCCACCTCCGCCACCTCCGCTCCCACCGCCACCGCCGCCGCCGCCTCCGCCTCCACTGTCGCCACCGACACCTCCACCCCCGCCACCACTCCCACCACCACCCCCACCCCCTCCACTGCCGCCACCGCTACCTCCGCCACCCCCGCCAGCCCCTCCAGCACCCTTGCCCCCCTTGCCCTTGCCGGTGCGGCGTCTCCCGCTCGGGGCAGACGCAGCGCCGACCGACTCGAGACCAACGAGGTCGGCCGCAGCAGCAGAGGCAACAGAGGGCAAAAGAGGGGAGGGGGAACACCCCTCAAAGATGGGGGTGCGAGGGTCACCACAAGAGGCTCCTACAGCTACTATGCTCTTTTCTGCTGCTAGGAGGGCCTTCTCGAGGAGGTCAACGGTGAGAGTGGTGGGGCAAACTGAGAGGAAGTGGTCCCTGACTACGCGAAGGGAGTCAGGGAGACGGGTGACTATGTAGTAGAGGGTGATGTACATGGGGGGGGGGGTTCTTGGCGCAGAACTCAGCAGGAAGTGCAGCGCGGTAGCGAGTGTCACTAGTGCGGAGGTGCGTAATGAGGTCAGCGACTGTGGGAAAGGCAGCAAGGTCAGGGAAGAGGTACGGTAGCATGAGGCGGCTCAGTGCAGCAGTGGCAGGGGAGGAGTAGCGCGCAACTACAGCGTCGTACAAGGTGTGAGCACTCTTGTACTGGCTAAAGTGCGCACGCTCAGAGGTAGGCAGGTGGCGACGCACAGCAAGACGTGCAGCAGCATCGCGCGTGGCCCACTGTGAGCGAACAGTGGCGTCAGCATCAGCAGCAGGGGCAGGAGAGGCACCAGAAGTGAGGTCAAAGAGGGAGAGGCCGTCTGCCCTATCGCACTGTAAGAAAAGCTGCAGGTCATCTATCCAGACGTCAAAGTCAATGGCCCGACCCTCAGCGTCAAAAGAGAGGACACTAGGGGTAGCCATGACAGCAGTAGACTAGCAGCGCAAACAGTAGGGTGAGGGCAGTGCTGTGAAAGAGGCGCTGCTCTTACCGGACAGGGCGGCTCGGGCGGCTCGGCTGCAGGGCGGCTCGGCGGCTCGGCTGCTGGGCGGCTCGGCGGCTCGGCTGCTTGGCGGCTCGGCGGCTCGGCTGCTGGGCGGCTCAGCGGCTCGGCTGCTAGGCGGCTCGGCGGCTCGGCTGCTGGGCGGCTCGGCGGCGTGGCTGCTGGGCGGCTCGGCTGCTGGGCGGCTCGGATGCTGGGCGGCTCGGCTGCTGGGCGGCTCGGCGGCTGGGCGGCTCGGCTGCTGGGCGGCTCGGCTGCTGGGCGGCTCGGCGGGGCCGCTGAGAGGGCGGCGTCCGGGGCCGCTGGGAGGAGGCGGCGGGGCCGCTGAGAGGAGGCGGCGGGGCCGCAAAGGTAGGTGGCAGGGCCAGCAGGTAGGTGGCGGGGCCAGCAGGTAGGTGGCGGGGCCGCACAGGTAGGTGGCGGGGCCGCGGGTAGGTGGCGGGGCCGCTGGTAGGTGGCGGGGCCGCAGGTAGGTGGCGGGGCCGCACAGGTAGATGGCGGGGCCGCGGGTAGGTGGCGGGGCCGCTGGTAGGTGGCGGGGCCGCAGGTAGGTGGCGGGGCCGCAGGTAGGTGGCGGGGCCGCACAGGTAGGTGGCGGGGCCGCGGGTAGGTGGCGGGGCCAGCAGGTAGGCGCCGGGGCCGCACAGGTAGGCGTCGGGGCCGCAGGTAGGCGCCGGGGCCGGAAAGGGCGGCGTCAGGGCCGCAGGGCGGCGCGAGGGCCGCTGGGTAGGCGACGAGGCCGCAGGGCGGCGGATTGGGGCCGGGTAAGGGCGGCGCGATGGCCGCGGGGTAGGCGACGAGGCCGCCGGGCGGCGGGTCGGGGCCAGGAAGGGCGGCGCGAGGGCCGCAAGGCAGGCGACAGGGCCGCTAGGGCGGCGCAACGGGGCGAGAAAAAAGGAGGGGGGGGGAGCGCGACTCGGGCTAGGACTGAGCGCGCTCCGGGCAGAAAAAAAATGTCGAATTGGTGGGCCCTAGGAACAGTTCCCACGAGGGAACCTGCTCGATACCATGTGAGAATAGAAACGAGAATGAATTGACTAAGGGAAAGTTGGGTACAAATGTAAACCCTAGAAAATTGTACCACTATAGCCTACAGTAGCTATGTCATATAAATCTGACAGAGCTTATAATTGAGTCAGATTTATAAGCGCATGCGCTTATATAATAACAAATGCAAATTTATAATTCATTGGCACGAAACTGTACATCTCCTTCTTGTGATTTCAATCGAATCGAAGTGGTAGCGAGTCGCAATTCAGATTCGCGCGTGAGCGATTTTCTGCCGGCGCACAGGGGAAAATTTACACGTCACTATCAGAAATGCCAGCTCATACTGACTGGACGCGCAGTATGTGAGGTCCTCGAAAGTCAATCGAAGCGAAAATAGTTGTATCCTCACTGCAAAATTTGAAATCGCTACCGTTTTGATCTGGTTTAAATTTTAGAATTATACGTGCGCTTATAATAAATCAAGGTTTTACAGGGGGTGCGCTTATAAATGAGGATCGGCCATAAGCGCATTGCTCCAGATACAAGCGCATGCGCTTATAATAGGCCTGCGCTTATATCCGGGGCCATACGGTACCAGTAGTATTAGCCTCAATTCAGTGTCAAAGACAGATTGCTGTGCAATCTTTGAATGACGAACGAACATGCGTATGTTGGGATGAAGCCTAGAGGCATCCCATGGGGAAGACCGGCTGTATGTGAAGTCCAAGTGCTCATGGACACCATTCTTAGTCAATCATTACCCCATCCCCGTTAGTGTCAAATCCGTTCTTCCTTGAAAGGATTAGTCGATCCGAGCAGTGTACACCCAAGCTGAGCTCATAACCAGCTGTGGCATTCAGAGCATGCCATCGCCTTGTCATGTGACGGTCATGTCAGGCAAGGGAGGGAGTAAGGGGCTGCAGAGAGCTGGTGGAGCACCACCAGTGGGGAAGGGCTGCTGCAGCATGACAGGGCGTGGCTGTATGGGAACTTTTATGTGCAACCCTCTTGGGGTTGAGGGCGCGTTCAATGGAGCCCGTGGATGTTGACAAGGCACAGGCAGCCAAGGCGCGTGTGTTGGTAACTGTAAGAGTGGCTTTGGGAGTGGCTTTGGGAGTGGCTTTGGGAGTGGCTTTGGGAGTAGCTGTGGCGGTGGCTGTGAGTGCAGCTGTGGCTGGTGTGGTGGCAGCGAGAGCATGCGGTCAAGCTCTAGGTCAAGATACTGCTGCTGCCTGTGCTGCTCAGCACCTCCTTCCCCGGTCCCTCCCTGCTCCTCCGCCCACTCTGGCAGGGTTGCCCCAGCAGCACTTGGGACGGCAGGCCCCTCAGTGTGAGGTCCACTGGGCAAGGGCACGGCGAGGGCACTCCCACCCAGCAGCACGTGAGCCAGGGGCGTGTCAAGAAAGAGAGCACCGTTGTCCTTGGCACTGTGCTTGTCAGTGTTGTCAGGGTTGCTTATGTTGCTGAGCACGTTAACGCATGCATCCAGGTATTCCTGCTCCTGTGTGCCACACGTACTCCCAGCAAGCACCGCTGTAAAGCCCCTGCTCGTGCTGCCAGGAGCGGGGCCAGGCAGACCAGCGAGCGGCAAGGGCATTGGTGCTGCGAATGGCTGGGCGGGCGCAGGAGCAGACAGAGCAGCACGCTGCGTTAAGGCAGGGTCCTCGAAGCAGAGTCCCAGAAGCACGTCGTCGGGAAGGGCGCTCTCTGACGCAACGCGGAGCCACTCCTCCCCGTGTACTGCGAAACCCCTAATGCAGGGAGCGAGATCCCCAATGCAGGGAGCGAGATCCCCACAGCCAGCGGAGGAATTTCCGAAGAAGGGAGCGCAGCCAGGTAGAGCAGCGAGCTGGGAAGGCATTGGCGCTGCCAGCGCTGCGTGTGGATGGATGGGCGGAGGAGCAGACAAAGCAGCGCGTTGCATGGAGGCAGGTTCGTCGCTGCTGCACCCCAACATCACGTCGTCTGGAAGGGCACTCTCCGACCCAAAGCGCGGCCACAGCACCCGCTGCGCCCTGCTCCTCGCTCCCCCTTGCTGCAGCTGGCGATGCTCCATTAGCAGCAGAGCATTCAGAAGGGCTCCTTCCTCGTCCTGCACGTGGCTGCTCGCCCCCTGCTGTTGGAACTGCTCTGCCACTGACTGACGCCACCACTCCGTGCTACACACCACCCCACCTCGCAGAAACCCCCGTCGCAGCAACCAGCTCTCACGTCCACCGAGCAGCGGTTGCTGTGCCCCCAGCTTGGGGGAGTCGTCCCTTGGACGCTTCAGCGCACGACGCGGAGAAGAATTGGAGGCAGCAGCAACGGGGAAGGCTTCCCTGGACACTGGAGAGTCGGTTTTAAGAGCAGCCGCAGTAGCAGATACGCTGGCGGCTCGGGAAGGAGGGCTGGCGAGAGAAGAGAGGTTCAGTGAGGGTGGTTGGCGGCAGCAGCGCGCGTTGGGGGCAAAGAAGACAGCCGTGCACTCGTCCAACGACAGGCCCCCGAATGCGAGAGCAGGTGAACCCACGCCCTCCGCACGCTGCTGCTTCTCCTGTTGCTGGTGGTGGAAATCCTGACAGAGCAGCTGCGAACTGTCTCCGTCCAATAAAACGTCCTGGAGGAACGCAGCACCTCCCAGGTGATTTCTCAGGAAGCTCTCGCGATAGTGGTGAGTGAACTTCCTGCCATCAACGCACGGCCACAGAGCAGAAAGGCTGAGGTGTTGGAAAAGGCTGAGGTACGTTAGAAACGATGATGCGTATCAAGAAACCTGAGCTCAAGAGATCATGCATGCCGGCATGCAGGGTTACCTTCGGAGGAAGATGTAACGGTTACAGCACGACTTGTTGCTCCTCTTGAGCTGACCACTCCTCTCCAGCTCGCCCCACTGCTTCGTGCCGCACTGCAGCGCGTGGCGCAGCAGAACCGCGTCCTCCTGCCGTGCGAGTGAGGGAGGGAATGACAGCGTTGCCATCATGAGCAGTGTGTGTAAAGACCGCGGCCCAGGGCATACTGAGCGTGTCCTACGCACTGGTTTTTTATTCGCTCCGACATTGAAAGGAAAAACGGAGGGCTTGAGAGGTTCTCCTCTAAAACACTCTTTTCGCGACCCACCGCCTCTCGCGACCCACCTCTTGCGACCATGGCTGCATTCCGAGCGGCGACGAGGGTTGCGAGACCGGCGGTGAGTCAATGGCTTCAGAGGAATGCGGCATGGCGGCCAAACTGCGGTTCTTGAAAGCGGTACCACCACGGTGATCGAAAGAAGTCAGCAGGCACGAGAGCCTGGTGGTACCGTGGACAATCTAGAAAGAAAATTAAAATCAGAAATTAACCGTCTCTTGAAAGAAAGGTGAGACCCGGATAATCTTGTATATCAACCTTGGTTCAAACCTGGCCCACGGAGCGAACGACCTTTGCGGGTCAGTACGGACGAGCAGCAACGCATGCACGAGCCCTGATTGTGGGATGGGATCCACCATTGGCCCCCTTTCATGCCACCGCATTTGCCAACAGAGCCGAGTCTTGACCGCAGCAGTGGAATGCCCCTTATTGCACTTCCGGACGCAACCAGCGAGGCCTCGAGTCGCGCGGCATCGGAGGGTGTGCGAAGAGAAAGGCAGCAGTGGAAAGGGTGCGAGCGAGGATGTTAAGTGTGGGCCAAGTGGCACCGAGAACGACGGCCCGGAATGAACGTAATCATTGCTGTGGCTTGAAGTATGTAGCCTGCCCGGCAGGCACCCCACATTCAAAACCCCTCCAGTACTAGGAGACAACGAGTAAGCGTAGGCGTACAGTATTAGTAGACTGTACTGTGTACACTGTCATCCGAGGTCCTTGGAACTGGGCGTGTCATAGTGTATGGAAATCTCGGAGGAGCCACCGTTATGTGACACACGTGAAGACCTGCCAGCCGTGACAACTGTCGAAGCGTTCTTGTTTCAAATGGACAGTGGTGGAAACTAGGACCAAGACGCAGCCATTGGCTGCAGCTGCCAGCTCCCCCAAGCTTGCACATCCAATCCAGATGCACGGAAGGGAAGACATTGTTGACCTAGCAAGCAACTGTGGTGAAATGCCGTATCTCGAGCAAGACTTGAGAGCGAAACCAATCTCGAGGATTAGGTTATGGAGAGGATTATGTTCTCGCGTGCAAGCCGTTGGGCAGGGGGAGGGAGGGAGGGAGTGGGCATCAGGCAAGTGCTGCGGTCAGCGGACCATACGTCAGCAGCAGCCAACTGGAGCAGCCTGCCTGCCTGCCTCTTCCTGAACGTGAAAGGTCGCCTTCCTGGTTAACTGGTCGGAAAAGGAAAATGTCGAATTTGTGGCCGGAAAGTGACGGAAAAGTTGAGTCGCAAGTAACTTGAGCTACCACTGTTTTTGACTGACTTTTTTTCTGCGAGACAAAAGTAACCCTAAAGTGTTGGGCAAGTAACTTTTCAGTTGTTTTTCGCCCTTCCCTTTTCCGCGATGATTGCCTTGCATCACCCGATGGCTCATCCTTCAATCCGAAACTCCTCAGGAGAGATTGCTAACGGAAACCCGCCAGCCTGGCACGTTCCGAATCGAGCATAAGATTGAAGAGCAAGAACGGAGCGGAAGCAGAACTCAAGGCCGATGATAAGGTGGTAGCACGAACCCTAGTGCTGTTGCTATAACGCCCCGCTAGACCTCTGAGCCAAAATGGGGGTTGTTCAGAGCCGCAGCGGTAATCTTTTGAACCCTTGTGTTGTCGCAGGCGCTACATCCCCGGTGGCGTCTATCCTTCCTAGGACACACGGCACACACTCACCCGACCGCGGCGATGAACGGACTCGATGCAAACTTCTACTCGATCTCCCAAGATGATTGGCGATGACGGCTGGGTCCGACGACTCGGAATGAACGTCAACTTTCACGAGAGTCCGTCTGCACCCAATACGGAGCAGCGGGCTGCACACCTTCGCCTCGAGAGCTAATTCATCCGACTCGGTGGAAGCTGGGGCGAACGGGCCGCGTCCTGATTGACAGATCCAAGCTGACGCGATCCTGTTGCCAGTACTTGGTCATTCGCGGTTATGACGAACGGGATGCAATGGCTGTCATGATTGCGGTCCTTCGCATCGTGCTGAAACCGCTAGTATGGATTCAGATAAGGACGAAAACTTCATGACGCAGAGCGAGTGAAAGCCGACGCGGTGAAACGCGGAGCTGAGGAGCATTGACGCCATGGATTAAGGATTCAGGAGTGCCGTCAGATCGGAGCCGTCAGAGTCTGATGGACCGTGAGCGACTCGAGAGGATAGGTTCATCATGGTCATTCACTTCCAGATTTTGGAGAGAATTGCTCCAGTGCCTTGTTTGGTGATTTGCTCTTGCCCACGTGTCCCCGAATTGCTCGAGTGGCCATCAAATTCAGTGATAATTGCTCGAGTGGCCACACCAGGGCATTTTCGAGGGGTTTTTTTTCTCCGGCACATTACCCTTCCAGGGTTTGTATCCCCGAAATTCCTCGTTCGCACGAGTCTCATCCCGCGGTAGTGATTCATATTATTCCCCACCCGAAAATTTCGGGTGGTTGGCGGGCACGAACGTGGCCCGACCAATAGTATATGCGCGGCCATTTTCGCCCCACTGCGCGACCAATGAGCGCGCGGGCAAACAAATTCGGAACCAATAAGCGCTCGAGCATATAAATCCGCGATCATAAACCTAACGACCGCGCATGATTCGTCAATGATATGCTCGATGCAATTGTTGGCATTACACGTCCAATCAGGTGCCATCATTAAGGATTGCGACCATATTTGACCGCGCCAATGAAACTCAATTTACTTTATGATCTCGCCAATCATATGCTAAAAACACTCGCACAAACATAAACTCTGGCCAATTAGGTTCAAATTAAAACGCTCAAACTCAGTTTGGTACGCCTGTATCATCTTCCCGCGCATTATGATTTGAAACATATGCTACACATCGCTCACACCATTTCCTCGTTGTTTTAGGGTTGACATCTACCCTTGCCTTCGATTGGACCACTTAGGTCCTTACAGGAGGTTCTTTTAGGAGCTTTTCCGGCTTGAACGTTCCTAGTAGCCGCAATGGGTTCGATGTCTTACACCTCTAACACAGAGTCCGACTCAGGCGATGAAGATACAGAGTTTTGCTTCGTTGGAACTGGAGAGCCCAAACAAAGTGATATGTACCGTTCGTTGCTCCGGGAAATGGTCGTCGACGAGGACCGCTCGCCACAAATTGTGATAGACGATCGAGCCTTGTTGTGTGAAGGTCAACTATACTCGTCTAAGCAATTTTTGTACGAAGCACTAGAAGACTATTCGGTAGCTTGCAACTTCGGATTTAGGGTTATGAGGAGTAGGCAAAACAGAGTCCACGCCATATGCATGAGTCAACATGAGCGTCTTAAACCAGCGTGCAGGTGGCGGTGTGAGTACTCCACTGACGGTGTAGGTGGGTTTTGGCGTGTTGACAAACTGTCCGCCCTATCATCTCATTGCTGCTCACCCGTGGATCGGGATCGCTACGTGAAGCATACAACAAATAAAGTGTCATATCTGCAGCGTCATCATGGCAACCTTGTCCATGCTGCACCACATCACCCTCCCGGGACATACAAGGATCAGATTGCGTCAACCGGTGGTCCGGATATCAATTATCACCAATCATGGCGGTACGTCTCGAAACATTCTCTCCATATCGCTTCCATTGTCACATGCATATTCTTAAGCACACCATTCACCTTCTGTTTTCTCAACGTGCCTATCTTTTCTCGCACATCGTCATCCCTCATCGTAGGCTCAAGGAAAGGATGCTGAAGGAGCGCTTTGGAGATTGGAAAACTTCTTTCCGCTACATTCCTCGGGTGTTGGAACGGTTCAGAGAGATTGACCCTGATTCAACGCTCGACCTTGTGACGAAGGATCACGCTTTCTTCCGGGCTTTTGCCGCCCCATCGGCATCAAAAACTTCTCTAAGGTTCTGCCGACCGGTCATTGGCATGGATGGTACATTTCTCATTCGGGCGCAGCGGGCTACGCTCTTGGTTGCGGCTGCTAAAGATGGAAATAACCAGCTTGTTCCACTCGCTTTCGGTCTATGCGAGAGCGAGAATAAAGACAGTTGGAAGTGGTTTTGTGAGAAGTTGTTGACGCATTTTCCTTCGTGGCCGGCTACCCACGATGCCTCCCTTATCAGTGATCGTGATAAAGGGTTAATACCGGCGGTTAAAGAAGTGTTCCCATCCCAGTTCCCCCACTACTTTTGCAGTTGGCATTTGGAGCAGAATGTGCTGAAGTTTGGCCCTAACGCCTCTGAACTCTTCAAGAAGCTCGCAAACTGCCGCACAAAGTGGAAGTTTGGCAAACTCGTGAGGAGATGCCGGGCCGACTGTGCTGCAATGGCGAACTACCTCTTTGGGGTTGAAGAGGCCCGTGTGCAGCAGACCCGTGGCAGACGGGGAGCCGACCAGCGTGCAAGGGAGCCAGAGGGCGGGGATGGGTTACGGAGCCGGACGGGTGCGGCACAACGAGCCAGAATGGCAAGGATGGAAGTGCGGCGGCAAAGGAGGATTGGTCGCAGGGGAGACCAGCAGACACCATCTCGGCAGCCACCATCTCAGCAGCCACCATCTCAGCATCCACCAACTCAGCAGCCACCATATCAGCAGCCACCATATCAGCAGCCACCACTTCATCAGCAACCATCCCAGCAGCCATCATCTCAGCAGCAGCCATCTCAGCAGCCACCATCTCAGCAGCCCCATAGGGACCATGGGTTCAGACCCATGCCAACTGCGAATCATACTCGTGACCGCCCTTGTGACCTACGGCCTAAATCGGCGGCTGCCGACAACGTGCATCCATCTGATCATGTGACAGCAACACCAACCGAGCTCCCTTCGTTGGCAAGCGAGAATGTGGGAGATATGCTTACAACCATGTCCGACAGTCAGGCGGAGGCAGATACCAAAGAAGTATTCATGGAGCAGTTCGACGTGGAGGATGGGAGC